TCTATCTATCTAGCTATCTAAACTACATACACGGAGACAAAAATATATATGTATATTTCTGTGTGGATAAGAGCGTGTTACGCGCTTTATTTAGGCTTATGTACGCTAGAAAAATTATTAAATAGTTTGGTATTCTTCTTGCAAATATATAATAATCGGACATCGTTATCTATACAAGTAGATCACGCGACGGATCTCATTAAAGCGAAATGTCTCCCTTACCCGTCGTTATTACATAATAATGTGAAACGATGTAACAAGTTAAAATAAGAAAATAATGTTAAAACGATAAGAAGTAACATCTTAAAAGATATTCCTGCAATGGTCAGTATACTAACAACGAGATTAAACAGGGCATTTTAAAAAATCACAGTTGAAAGATAATGTTTCGCTATACTGGGTGTTTTCCATTTAGTGACACAAGTCGACACAAATATCATTTTGTCCTTGTTAATCATTGAAAGCCAAAAAAAGATAGAACGATACTTGTGTCGACTTGGGTCTAAATGGAAAACATCCACTGAAGAGTGAACTCGTGCGTTGTCGATAAAAAGAATAAATGAGTCACAAATCGATAATATGTTAAAAAGATCATAAATTAGTTCTATACTAATTTATGAATGCCATTAGCAATCTAATGTGTCTCCCTTTATTAAAGTATCTTCCCGCGAAAATAAATTAGAATAAATTGGCAGGAGTCCATTTTCAAATTAAGTAATAATTGATTAATTTGCGATTTGTAACATTAATAAACATAAATTATTGAATATTGGTCAAGATTAGTTAAAAATTCTTTTTAATTAAGATTGGAGATTCTTGAGCTTTTTTTATTTAATAAATAAAAATATTTTAGCATTTGCACTGGGAGAATTGCGATTTGTGCGATGTAATATATTATGAATGTGTGTCTGTCTGACGGTTTATTCGACAAAAAGTGATCTTTTACACTATCGCATAACCGTGCTTTTTTACATACTTTATCATTGATCTCGAACCGGTTGACATAACCGTTATAAATAGAATAGTGTTTCTCACATAAATATTATTATATGTAAAATATAGTTGCAAGATGTGATACATAATGTATATCGATGATTCGATAACGTATCAACATCAAGGAAGTTTAATTACTGGTTTATCACCAATTTAAATCGTTCTAGTCAATCATCGTTCTGCGTACTTTTCCATTTAAATAATATATATTATATATTGATAATATATTGATATTACACGGATATTAAAAAATAAACGTCAAATGTCAGTCAAGTGTCAGAAATAATATTCTGAGTTACAGAACGAGATTTTAAATCTCTCATTTACAGAGATTTGTTTATTAAGTTTTCTGTATTTACAAGACTAAAATAAAATAACATCGTTCTTTTTAATATTTTCTTATAATATGATATGTTTGTATTTAATATATTTTTTTATATTTAATACTTATAATATTTAAAACTATAAAAACTTAATATGTCAAAAAAATGCATGGAACAACTCTCTTGACAATTAAAAGACATTCGACGTCCACCCTTCAACTATTCTCGGATCTCGTAAACTAAGTCTTGTTTATCTTAATCATCATAAAAAGTAATTACTTTTACGATACTGAGCCACAAGGAAAAATTTGTTCGGAGTATTGTTTACATAACAATCGTTAAATATAATTTGTGCGCCTCACAAAAAAATAAGCATAATTAACAATAACAAGTAAATTCATAATTTATGTTCATTAATTCGGCATAATAATTAAGAATAATAAATATAAAATTTTTCACTCAATTCACAAAATCTAATCTAAGTTTTTGTTTATCGATTCCAAGAACTCAGTTTTAAAAATCTGAAATCTCGTCAATTCACATGAAGCTGCGTATGCGCGCACGTGAACATGTTTCTGCGATCGTTTGTGCGTGTCTCTTTCTAACAGCATCGGTTTTACACGAATAAAAGAAGATGTACCAAGAAGATGTACCAAGACGCAAAATCGTTTATACATTTGCTAGTGCCACTTATAAATCTACAAGGCTCTTCTCAAACGTTTATTTTAAGCGAATTATTTCATCTACTCATCTTTGTATCTCCTTGACAAGAAGCTATACTGCCAGATAACAAATTTCCAAGTCCAATTACAATGTGTTCACTTGATACAGCAGTCATTGAGTTAATCTCTATAAATCCCTTTGTAAATGACAGAAATTCGTTATCGCATTAGACAACACGGAAAAACGTTAAAGTAAAAATAAAATTTTTTATTCAATATCTTTATCTATCTAATATCGATTAATTTTTTTGATATTATTTTAGTAGAGGAAGAGTCAAATTCTGCGAGAGATTCTCAATGAGATTAAGAATTTCGAATGTATCGACGTTCGCATTCGGGTTTTATAGGGAGGAGAGCGGTCGGACGTTTTCGACATGATGACCCGCGACGATTTGTTTGCCAAAGAGAAGCGAAATCTTCAACGGGAACCCGAATCGTTGGCACACGTTTCGCAATTGGAGATGGGCCAAATTGCTCACAAACTGTCCGAGTGTGCCTGTTAATCTGATTCGCAAGAGCTTTTCGCTCACATTTCTAACAGTGTCTTTTGAAGCGTGCATGCGTGCAGCAGATTTAATGCGTCACACAATAAAGAGAATGAAATGTGGTTGAGATTTCAAATGTCTTCAATAATAAAAATAAAATTTTAAATTCTACTTTTTAGGTTGATAGAACAAATTTTGAGAATCTTAATTTTAATAGATTTTTTCTTCTTAATAAGTCTATAATTTTCATATTATATATTAAAATCAAATTATTACGTATTATCAGATCGGCTCGAATACTGGATTAATCTATCGTGAGATTTCTCGTGTCAGAATATGATAAAACAAATGCACAGAAAGAAACAAGGAATTTATAACTTTTCATAAAACACTGCTATGAAGAATGATGGATGTCGCTCGGTTGGAACACGATCTCCCGAAACTATCGACAAATATAATTTCCATTTAGTATCCCTTCTTCTGTGTTTTCTAGATGTTTACCATACGATACCATACGATAAAGTATACCGTGTGTTAAAGGCATTCGAGAAGAAAATAATTTTATTATTAATGATATTTGTGCGTTGTCATATAGTGGCAGCATTATTAAATATTCCGAAACATTTTATCGTTTAGTTTATCTTCATTTGTCACTTTGTCAGACTTATCCGATGTCTCCATTTGGCAATGCTAGATCAATATCATTAATAATTTCGTTCGTCGCATTTTCCGTCGTAGCGTCTTCTCGGCGCCTCAACTTACAGCATCGTATGCACATGCTCCATATGCCTGCAATTGCAATCTCCGGATATATGTATCGGGTTAACGTTTATAACGCGCGAATACACGCGAGTGTTTATTTGCATCGCGGTAGTGTCGGGTGTCCGTTTGCCGGTAGCTTAATGCCGCGATACGCGAGAACGAGCGAGCGAGCGGGCAGGCGAGCGCCGGCTTTCACGTGCTCTTTTACGACCCGTCCATTCCACGTGCGCGCTCGTTATCGCTCGTCTACAACAGCTCTTCTTACTCTATTTCGGCCCCCGCGAGTCTTAAACCCTATCGCGCGCGTTCATAAATCATAGAAGCCATTCGCGCGCGTACACGCTTACGACCAAAGTTCTTGGCCGTGCAGCCTCCGACGGATATGACCTTACCGAACAATACATTGAGATCGTCGACGGTCGAAAAGTGGACTGAACAAAATGGTAAATCGTCTCGAGATTCTCGGGAAGTACTTAAAAGCACTCGGATTTGAGCGTAAATAAAATTAAATTTCAACTCACGATTTCTCACCGGCTACGTCGCGCACCAATGTGACTCTCTTCGATGAGGTAACGAGCTCCTCAGTTATTAAGAATAAAGCGATATGAAACAAAGATCTATCCTAAGAGAACGCGAGAAATACTCTTTGAAAATTATTATAGTATATAAATTAAATTTTTATAAATTTACTATAATTCAAAACAATTTATAAGTACGTCTAGAAGTGTTCACGTGTGTATATAATTGCACATTTGTTTATCCGTTTACATGTATTCATTTGTCTCAACTCAAAATATCGAACTTGAGATTGAAGATTTCAAGCGCCATTTCATAGTTAATGAGAAATAAAATAAAAGTCGAATTTCCGTCGCATTCAGAATATTACATGAGCTACGTAATCGTGCCGTGAGCGACACTAATCGTCTATCTACATATCGCCTTAAATTTTCTCTCGTCCGCGACTGGCGATTCGGGACACATCGAGGCTCGATAAAACACGTCGATACACATTGATAGACGTGCAAAAGTGCACGTCGAGCATTCCCGCGTTCGAGCTCGAGGAAAATATATTTGGTAACGAACGTGTCATTCGAACTTGACAGACGCATACAATGTGTTTGGTTTGCTGCGTGTGTTGCGTTTGCTTGTTGCATATGAGCAGCTGTATACGCGCTCGTAGAACCGCGCGGACGCACGTTTTTTCATCGCGCGCATCTCGAACCCGACCCCGATGAACCCAAGAGGACGCTTCGGGTCCGCAGTCATTGCGGCTTTTTATCAAGCGAACCGTACAGTCACTTTCGGAGACTGTTCCCGAGGCTTCGGGTGTCACTGAGAGGGAGAATGAGATCGGTTTGCTCTTAGCACAGCAACCGCAACCGGCGGCACCTGGACGCGCGACATCGTCAGCAACGTCGGGGTAGCGGCAACGTCGAAATGGCGATGACGTCGATCGATTCAGGCTATTACTTGCGCTCACCATGGATCAGCTGGCCGGCATCTCCGAGTTCTGTGTCTGTAACAACTCCAGCAAATGGCACTCCGACAGCGGTACCTCTTTCGTACGAGCGCTCTGATTCCTCTGTAATGCGTGTATATAATATTGCAATCTTACGATAATAATATATATATTAGAATATTTTTCTATAACAATTAAAAAGTAATTTAATAGCAAAGAATATCTTACAAACAATTTTAAAGAATATTTTGATCTTTTAAATTTTTTAAATCTCTCTTTCAAGCATTTTTTAAATAACTTTTAAAAATTCATTAAAAAATATCTTAAAAAGTCTAAAACATACTTTAATCTCTTTCGGATATTTTTTTAAATATCCAGACTGTTTTCGAAAATAGATTTAACTAATCTTGTAAAAATAAAAACTTCATAAATTAAGTTACCTTTCTTCGAAAGGGAAAGCAGCCTCTGTTCTCGTTATTGGGCGGTGTTTGGCTTACTAATAAATCTGGAGTGGGCGTGTTGTTAGGACCAAATACATTCAATTCCTTAAAAGTTCCAGTCTCTATCATCTGTAAGAAGTCAAACATGTTAGATTACGGTTCGACGATCTCTGCGAGGTACGTAGTAAGTGATTTAAGGTCGGCAGAAGATAGCTCGTGTGTAACGCGTTTTACACATCGCGGCTTTAAATACATCCACCCGAATAACGCCCAGTGATAACGAGCTTCTCGCGCTGCCTCTGACGTAGGAAAACACTTTGCGCGAGCTCTATATTTTTTGATCTAAGTGCCAGCATCGCTCTCCAGATGTTCCGAATGCATGTAATATAATATTTTCAGAAAGCAAAACAAAGCAGAAACCTCTAGAGCGCAAATAACGAGACTTTATTGCTGCCTTGTTACATTTTAAATTCAAATAAATTTTACATTTTCAGAATTTTAACTCGAGAATTAGCCGAGATACTTAATTCGAGACTCACAAGAATATTATATAAATGACATCCCTTCGTTTTTATTAAGATAACACCTGCGTTACAAAAATCGGAATAAAATATACATTAAAATTGATATTCTCTCTTAAACTAAAAGCGCTATTTAGAAGCTAATTTATCGTTTTATTTTATTTTAGTGCACGAGCCATTTAATAAATATTTATAACTGAATGATAATCTCACGTTAAATCAGCGTCCTTATTTAACAACAATTATCCTTTTTCAAAATTTTCTTGAAAAAAATCGAAATTTGTTAGAAAGATATTGTTAAATCTCAAAATTGTTTCGGATTTCCTCTGCACAGCTTCTGACAATATTCAAATATTGTTGATATCAATATGAACGTTTAAGATTAAGTGTATGGACGAATGAAGAATGCGATTTATTCATATGTTATAATGGAGATCTTGTAATCGTCTGCCGCGTGCCGCATAGGAATGATATTATTTTTATAGGAAAGGTCAAAGGCCTCCTCTCAGAGACGCAATATGTCTCACAATCGGTGATTACGATATGGATGTGTGACACATACGGGTGTCTTACCTCATTTTGCCATGGAATGGACACGCTACCGGTGTTAAACTTGCTGTAAAAGGTGTTGTCCGTGGCGTCTAAATTAACACCTTTCACCGTAGAGAATTGTTCGATGTCCAGAACATCTTTAGCATAAACTGCACGAGGCTGTAACGATAAACATGTTAATCAATGATTAATAATTTTCATAACCTTGGATTAATGTTGTGATGTTGATGATGTTCTATGCGATGAATCATGCAAATGACAATAATGTATCCTTATAGCATCTTTAAGCTATATAACTAAAGATCATAGTATTAAAAGTAATAGAACTGAAAATAATAGAACATTAAATTTCTAACAATTTATATTTCTTAGAACATCATTTCATTATATAACCGCGGCAAAACACATTAATTAAGAATTCATAAGTATAGGAATATAAAAATCTCAAAGCTAATTAATCGATAGGATTCAAAAATAATTATTGCGGAAAGTCGTCGTGATTCGTCAACAAAATATTCCAAATTCGAATTCCAGCCGATTTCGTTAATTCTTTTGAATTTCCTACATAAACGTTGTGTTAACTTAGTAATTATTAAAGTTATCGAAATTATTAAATTAAATTCCTATACACAATTTACGTTCAAAAATGCAAATAAATGAACTCGCTAAAAAATTTGCGTAACAAGCGCGAAATGAGAAACAAAGTAAGAAAGGGATAAAGTCTCGATAAGACGATCGATCATCGAACGACACCTACTTACATCCGGCACAAACGGCGGTTCCCACATACCAGCCTCGACCCTCTTCCAGTTCAAGCACTGGAAGAAGCTATGGAGCTTCACCTCCTTCGCCCCATGCCGTCCGCACTTGCAGCCCAGTCTGTTCTTCGGGCTCTTCTTCAACAGCTGCTGGCACAGACTCTTGGCGTCCTCGGTGAACCTGGGCGAGTACCTCTCTTGATCCTCCTTGACGCGTCTGTCGACTTCCTCACGTTTGACCTTCTCCTTACGGGCGCGGAATGGCGCCTGGCCCTCGATCATCTCGTACAGCAGGCAGCCGAAGCTAAACCAGTCCGGCGAGAAGGTGTACTTCTCGTTGTCGATCACCTCAGGGGCCATGTAACCCACCGTGCCAACCCTACCGCGCACCATGTCACCCTCCGTGATCTCCACCGCGAGACCGAGATCAGATATCCTCACGTGGCCATGATCGTCCAGCAATATGTTCTCCGGCTTGCAGTCCCTGTAGACGATACCCTGAACATGAAGATGCTCCAGACCGCACACGACCTCGGCCGCGTAGAATCGGGCGCGATTTATGTCGAAACCCGGCTCACCGCCCATGTTGTAAATGTGAAACTTGAGGTCGCCGCCATTCATGACCGTCAGCACGAGGCAGAGCGCGTCCTTCGTCGCGTACGCGTACGCGAGCGAGACGACAAACTTGGAGTTGATCTTCTGCAGCATGTTCTTCTCAAGCTGCACCATCGACTCGCCCTTCCTCTTTTTGATGCGCTTCTTCTCCAGCTTCTTGCACGCGTACATCTTACCGGTGGCGCGCGACTGGCAGGCGCAGACCTCGCCGAAGCCGCCTTTGCCCAGCACCCGGTACATCCGGAAGGTATTGTACGTCACCGGTTGCGCCTCCAGCCATTTCCACTGGAGGTACCTGAAGAGTCCGTAGGAGAAACATCATTCGATTATCTACTCTCTAATTTTCTCTCGTCAGAATTAGATTCTCGTCAAGGGAGATTCTTCTCCACGAATTTATATTATTTATCTGTCACACAATCTGGCATTTCACCTGTAGAAATAGAAACTGCTGAGAAAAGCCGAGAACGGCTCGCCGGCCAGGAAGTTCTTCACGGTTTGCGCGACCTCGGTGAAGAGCTCCTTGCCACCGGTGCCGAGTTGCTCCTCGCACTGCGAGATCAGGGAATCGTTCAGGATGTCGACTACCTCCGAGCCCTCACGCTTCAGATACTGCTCGAACAGCTCCTTCGCCAGGTCGATGCGATTCTCGTCCAGCTCGATCTCGTACTTCTCGATCGCGTCCAGGAAGAGATTGTAGCGGTAGTAGGCCGGCTTTTTATCCTGGCAGAATTGTCGGAAAAGCAGCCGCCCGATCGGCTGCTGGTCCACCACATAACCGTACCTAACGTCTGCCGTGCCGACGTCGTGAATCACGATGTTGATTACATTCCCGCAGCTTAATTTCAAACGTTGATTTTTCGCGAATTTTTTTCCGAGATGGACTGCACGTCGCGCCGCCCAAAGCGTACATATGGATAAATTTAATTTACATTCGCGAAATCTAATATGATCTCCCGTCTCCAAAACGAATCAGATTGTCACAGCTTTTTATTTAAAATTACTTCGGTCTGTTTTGTCCTTTTCGCGGAAATAGACAAAAATATTCTTGGATAGATGGTTACGTCATTTATTTGCGTGTGACTATAAATAATTCTAAATTAATTTATGTACTTTTGAAAATTATTTTTCCGATTAAATTATTCTTTAAATCAAATTAGAAATTGTTCTTTTTAAAAATTAATAACTTTAGATTAATATTATTATTATTATTATTATTATTATTATTTCTTTATAATATTATTATTTTTCTACAATACGTAATTAAATAAATATTCAATAATAAATTAAACTAATTCGCTAAGAATCTTAAAATAATCACTGCGGTTTAGATAAATAACAATTTTAAGTAGATAATTAAAAATTATTTTCTTGTTTTATAGGGCTAGCACACTTGCGGACACAGAACAGACGCATTTATTCGCAAGATTTGATTACTTCAAATCGGAAGAGCGTTATCAGAGTAGGTTAATGGGACATGCAACGAGCGTTGTCTCCGTTCCTCCGCCCATTCGATTTCTTTCAACTGCGTACTGCATGTTGCAGACTAAGATTTAATAATCGTATGAGTCTATTGAGTAACTTTTCATTACGATTATTTTGTGTGTAGGAACGCTCATTATCGGAAAAATTACAAAATATTATTTAAAATTTATAAAAATAACTTTCGATTAAGATCACTATTTTTTTCGGTACTTTTAAAACCTCTACAATGATTTATGACTCACCCAGTTTATCTTTTAGGCCGATGCACTGGGAAATGTGTGGGAACTGAAGCATCTTCCGCCATTTCTTACTCCTTCCTTTGTTGCTGTCACCACCACCTATAAAAAAATGATAATTTTCACAAATATTAATATTAATATTAAATTAAAATAGTAATAAGAGAAAAAATTTATATATAAATTTATGTAACTTAAAAATATTTAACAATTCGCTTTATTCACTATTTATTTCATTTATTGTATTTTCATGCTGCTAAATTTTTATATTGCTGAGAGTTATCTAAAAATTTTCATCGTTGGAAATTTTATCGCCACGCAAATGAACGGTAGAATTTTCCAATTTCCATCCGATGTTATACGTTAATTAAAAACAAATACGCGCATGGTTTTCCTGTTTGATGACCATTAATTAGAGCTCGAGTGAAATTTGTATAGTAATCCAGAACTTCTACGTATGCTTCTACGCGTATGTTAAAAGTAAATTAAAAATATGATAAAATTTCATTTTCTTCGATATCGATGTAATTTCCATCTGATAATAAAACGATGTATTGAAGTTACGTATTTAAAAAAATAAACCATAAATTTTGTAGGATATAATTATTTGGTCAAATATTCTTGATATACAATGTAGGTAATATCTTTTATTAATTACCTTTTTGTTAATTTAAGAATTCTTAATTAAAAATTTTTTTTTAATCTTAAAAAAACAAACAAATTAATTTAGTATGATATTTTCGAGAGTCCAGTGACATTTTATATCACAAGTCTCTCGAAAATATCACAATAAATAAAAATCAAGCGCTGTTATCGATGAGCAAAAATTCATCGTTTTATTACAACTATGTATTGAAACTTTGTAAAATGATTTTTTTAATAAATATTATTAAATTTTTGCGTTGCCGATAATAGCGCTTGATTTTTACATTTGATCCTTACATTTTTTTATCGTAAAATTAATTTATATATTAAGACTAAAAAGATGTAAAAAAGATGTAAAATATCATTCATAAAGAATTTTATGCAAGAATATTGCGCGTCTATTGGATTCGTCTATTCAATACTTCGCAAATGTCTTCGATCACGAAGGCAGATGGACAGAGATATTCGATTGAAAAGTGCCGGAAGTTGCGGAATTCAGTCTAACAAGGATAAGACAGATATTGGATAGCGTTACGAGATTTATCTTGGCACTTTGCAGAATACGAAAACAACGTCGAAAAGTCAGCCGCGATAGAAACTAAACGACAAGAAAGTTATTCCTTCTGTTCACCGCCGGAAATATACAATATTCCCACGTTCAATTCCTACAAGGCTCTTTCTGCCGTTTGGAGGACAATTTCGCTCATGTAAAAATGCGCAATTCAAACTAATATGACGATAATTTTCCTATTTTATATTCTTATGTCTGAATAATATAATATAAAAATATTTATGTGTGAATAATATAAAAGCTGACTATAACTATAAAGCTAAATAATATAATATAAAATACACATGAATTTCCAAACAGAAAATCTTAAAGCTAAATCATAGTTGTTTACTAACAACATATTCGGCTTATATCAATGTATTGTTTATTCTTATGTCAGCCTATGAAAAAGACGTTTCTTCTCATTATTTATCTAAATAACTTGGCTATGATTTCAGTTGTTTCTTTCAGTTGTTTATAAATTACTGTAATTTATAACTTTGTATACAAAGAAGAGTTAAACTAAACTATTACACTGAGAGAAAACAAAATAGTTCTGGCAATTATATTTATGACAATTATGAAATTTAAGTACCTGCAAATAGTTTTTCAAAGTAATAAGTATAAAATACAGATATAAAATATAGTATTAAATACAACAAAAATATAGTCACGATAACAATAGATGTACATTATTAATTGATAGCGACTCAACTACGTAATAATTACGTAGTTATATAGACTTCATACAAATAGAATATGACATTAGATTTTTCTAATTTAGACAAATATTTTTGTGAAGTAAACATAATGTCACAGTAAGATAAGTTTCAAAAATACATACTGACAACAATGGTACACGATATATTAGTTTATCTAACGATTTATTACAAATGATTAATATTATTATACTTTCTTGATTCATATAATTTGTCAACTATTCTTATTACAACTTTATTATACATAATTGAGACGCCATTTGTGAATAGATTTCTAGTTACTAGAACTTTTTTCTACTGAGTACGACTTTTTTCTCCGAGTAAATATTCAATAAATATCGGAAGAATTTCGGTAATAAGAGACAATAATTTTTTTGTCAATTTTTTATGCTGTAATGTTACCGTAATGTCAAAATTGATATTTTTCAAATTACGAGCAAATTGGGAACAATGGGCTTTTGGCAAATTAAACCTCTGACAAGCATTATCCTCATTCGATCGCGAAACTTAAAGGCTCGTAAATTATTCCATCGTTTACGACGGCAAATAAGTACTAACAGAAGCTATCGGTGTATATACCGGCAGAAATTTATTAATATCTTCGAAGCGACCGTCATAACATTAGATAACGCGTTGTAACAACGCGTGTTGCGCGTTACAATGCACATTCTATGCGATGACGAGCGCTGATATGCGGCAATAATGATTTATAGCGTATTTGTCGTTATTATGAGACTTTCTATCGAATAATTCTGCTATTCAATAATGTAAAGGCAGGAAAAAAGAGCACGAAGAATTTATTGCTGATAACTAAATTCCGAGAATAATAATATGTCTAGTTTTGCAGCACGAATATTCCAGATTCCTCATTCGCTTTCTCTCGTCCACGAATTTCTTAATCAATATAAAGTTAATTTATTCTTAATAGACAAGTATTCAAATACTAATACTAGATTAATTAATAATTCACCGCATATAAATAATGGAAGTTTACAAACAATTACTCATGAATTAAATAGGAAATAATAAGCAACGCGAACGTTTATTCGACTCCAAGTGTGAATCTTGATTAGTTGCAAAATTCGAACGTTAATTGAAAGAATATTTAAAATTCAACGATCCCAGATTAATCGAACAATTCGCGGGCAAAGTGATGGATGAAAGGCGGGAATTCCTGAACACTCTGTATATTCATTTACGTTAAACGAATTCCGGTTATGGCAAAAAGACGCCTTAGCTCCCGTCGGGAATGATCCCATCGCGATGGCGGCGGTATCGATCGTGCGGAAAAACGCAAGAGACACGGAAAAGCGGTGGGAGACGCGGACGGTCCTCGGTCCCAGTTTTTCGCTTCCGTGAACAAGCTCATCATACAGGTCATTCCAAGAAGGCCATATCCTCCGCTGTAACGGGAGATAATAGATTATCTGACAGGAAGTCGATTTAGAGATAGAGAACCATATATCAGAGCAAGAACTTTCTATATTTGTCCGCGCGCTTAGAGTCCGACGCGTCAGGAACTTTGACAAATAATGAATGGAAATGTCAAACAGATCCGGCAAATTCGAACAATGAGGATAGATCGAGCAAAGAAATTCCGTCTGCGATCTGCGCAGCTTTTGCTCTTTCATTGTCCGACGAATAATCCGCGAGGGAGGTCAACGATGCGAAATAAAATCCAGAACAAGATTGCACTCTTTTTCCATCAAGCGGATTTATATCGATGGAAATTTCAAGCACATTATTCGATATTTCAGAAAGAAGGAATTATCCAAAAGCATCAAGGATAAAACTTTCATTAAGACCGAGGTAATTCGGGTCAGACTCGAGAGAGCTAAATGCAGTTTCTCGACGTTTACGGCCACTTCGGGACACCCTGTACCTCGTCGACGTATGCACGGGCCCGCTCGTTCGATCCCCAACGAGCGGAAGTCGAGGGTCGCGTAAGCTCCACCTTCTCTTCCACATCGGCGGAGGAAAAAGGAAAAAACGGGGGAGGAAGCGAGTGCTCCAATGCGTGCGAATTGCATCGCGCGCGGGACGAGGACCTGTCTAATGCACGCTGCATCCCATTTGTAAGGAAAAAAAAAAAAAACCTATCTCGCGAGTCCGTTAAACATGAAAAGTGTACAATGATTATAATTAAATGCCTCGCTTGGAAGAGAAGCAATTCTTCATTTTTTACCTTCAATTTTGTATATCGGTATTGAGAAGAATCGCACACCACGGTTAAATTAATTTTGGGTGGTCGCATAGTAGCGACGAGGAGTTTCAAAGGGAAGATAGAAATATAATTTCCATCATTTAGGCCCGATTGCACCAAGCGAAATTTAAATGTGTGTCTGTCTGTATTTATTTAGAAAGAAAGATAAATACAGATACACGTTTTGTTAAATCTCGCTTAAAGCTAAAATAACGTTGGCGCGACCGGGCGTCAGCTATTAAAAAATTAATGGAAATATTATTTACCAGGCAATAGGAGGCAATAGAGAGGATTAAAAGAGATCTGACGTGAGCCATCTAAATTTCTTTTACGTATCTCTCGCGAGCAAGCCTCGACTGTTCTACTCGTAGTGGACCGCACAGCTGTTGCCGATCCCGTTCAATCGGTGTGCAGTCGCGTCGGGGATGCCGCGAAATGAAAAACCGCATTCGGCTCAGTGAATCGCGAGAAAGGGAGAGAGATAAAACGAGCTACACGACCGACCGACTACTCACGTGCATCTCATCCAATTCCGAAAAGTGACGAGAGAGAAGAAAAACAAAAAAAAAAAATAGGAAAAAAAATATCCGACGAAAAATTATACGATCGAAAAAATATAAAATATATTTTTATTCCGTTGACAATAGGTCAAAAATGAGTCGAAACATTCGGATATATGTTATTACGTTTAAAATTTATTAGTGTATTAACGTAAAAGATGTTTATCGAATATTTGCGCATCGTTAACAGCGTTCGGACTAGTCGCTTATAAATTTTTTGTCTTGACATTTTCGAGAGTTCTTTGTTATTTTATCGAAAGTAAGAATTCAAAACTATTTATAAATCAAAGTTCGCGAATAATAAGCTTACTCTATTCCACAGTTTTCGATTAAATTCAAAATAATTTTCTCGCGCAATTTTTTACGCCAACTGATAAACGAGCAGCGCGAAACGCACTGCGTAACGCATTGCTCATGCATATTTCATCCGACAAATGACGTTGTGAGATACACTCACTCGCTGTTAAATTGTATCAGCTTCCGCGGCTAAATGTATGTGCGATCTGTATCGCTAAGTGTACCATTTAAAATAATTATCCCGGGCGCGGAAATTTATTCGCGACAATTCGCGTCCCGGCGAGTGTGTTCCCGCGGTCGTGGAATTTTCTCACGCCTCATCGTCATCACGTAATTATATCAGCGTGCGCGACGAGCATAACTCCGTAGCTTCATTCACGATAATTGCATCGCGCAAATCCTCATTGCTATCATTATGATAATTCAAGTTCCCGCGGCACGACGAAACGTGACTTTCGATTATATGAAGTTGTACAGGCTCGTGTGTATCCATCCTCGCAAAACGCATATTTGGCTTGCGATGACAGTCGCGTGCGTAATACATCATCGCGATGTTGTTGCATACCTGTTTCATTTGACGTCATTGCATAAATGCATTTTTATGAACATTATAAAACACCATTTATCGTACCGTAAATGGCGATTTCGTGTGAACTCTTGGAAGTTTTTCTAATGTATGTTCAGTATTCGAAAGATTCTGGTTGAAAGAATTTCTTCAGAAGTTATCTCAGGAATCTCTAAGAATATATTCCTAATCAATGGCAAAGGAAATTTTAACAAAATGAAAACGTCTCTTTTTTCCACGAGATGGGGTAAGGTATCTTTTAATTATTAAAAATTCTAATACATTCATAAAGAAAGAGGTATAAATTCTTCAAACATAATTTAATAATTTCAATATTCAGATGCGCTAACACCTTTCAAATGCAATTTCGAAAATGCCGAGTTCCGGAATTTTTTAAAGGAAAAATACAATTCTAATCGATCGAAAATTACTGAATTCTGACGATGAGAATTATATATGCGAAATAACGAGAATTATGTACTAATCGCATCTAGAGGTAATTACAGAATTAATCCGGAGACATTAATGCACGACATGCACTTCTCGCCCTCTTGGCGCGCAAACGCTACCGAGCGACCGAGAAATAACTGGTCACGATAAATTAGAATTTCGTAAGTGGGAAAGTTTTTCATCGGCGCAACAAATTGATTACAGTCATTTCCCGATTGAACGGCCGCTAATTACGTCGCCGCGTTACGGCGAGCACAAGAGACCGCTAATTAACCCGTTACCCCTCTTCCCCCGTCGACCGTGCCGTATACTTACGTAATTCGTGGCGACCGAGTCTCCCGCGCGAAGCTTTCATTTATAAAGTTTATCAAGGCGATGCGATTACAAGGCCATTGACGTGGCTGGCTATCACGCGAACCCATTTACCTACTTTCCGACCATCAACACGCCTGCACTCTTCGACAGGACGTTCGTAATGTGCTAATTGAATGCCGGCCGATGGAGGGTGAGCTGCCCCCCTCCCCTCCCGTTGGATCCACTGCTCGCGCCCGATTCGTAATTTGCGGTGATCGACAAAACTCGGAGCTCAGAGGAACGTAACCACGTGATTTCTATGCAAATTTTATTTCCGAAGAAGTTTCCGGATTTTTTCAATCTCTCGAATTAAATTCTGTTAAAGTTCACTGGGAAGTGAAAAATACTGTATCCCATTTGTTTCTATCAAATGAAATTTTAAACAAGAAAAGCTTTTTAGATTTTACATCTGTTAAACTAAAAGTTTTATTTTTAATTTTGATAACAAAATTTTATATATTTTTTGTTTTAAAAGCTTGTTTTTAAAATAAGAGAACTCTGTGGAAAATATATTCACACACGCGCGCGCGCGCGCGCGCACACACACACACACACACACACACACACACACACACACACACACACACACACACACGCACGCACGACACGCACGCACGCACACACACACACACACACACACACACACACACACACATACCATACCACACATACAAATATTGATACTAATCATATTAGCAATAAATTTATGCATTAATTAGCGATTTAAAATTGGATCTTTAAAACATTTCCTTTCCCTGTGACAAATAAAACTTTGTGACCTTCGTTACTAAATGTTTCTCTAATGAAAGCTAGCTATGAATTCCTATGGGAAAAAAGGGCGAAAAATGTTGAAATACCTGACCCTATAAACCCCCCTGAAATACCTGACATATCTCGTGGGGACGCGTTACAAAGCATAATGAGAAGTAAAACGTCATGTTTCCCTGTCAGCAGCAAAGTTCACTGTACCCTGTAACGAGGCTAAAAATAAACGGCAAGCAGGACGGAAAAACAGAATTGAATCGAGCGTTTGTCCCTGCAAAAATCTCACGAGAGTCTATTTTTTGGTGCACACGTCTGAGGTGCGCGGGAGGTGCTATTTTCATCGGTTCGAGTTTCTCGCGAAACGCCGTTAATTGCGAAGGGAACTGACCGCTCGTATTAAAGAGCTTTATAAAAGCGTTTTAGACAAAAAAATTATAGGTGCTGCTTTATATATTAAATAATAGTCGAGTTGAAATCAAAAAGCTAATTCGAGACGCTTCTCGTGGGATCCGGTCAATTTGTATTGTTATAACTTGTGCAATTATAAATATTTTTTTAACATCCATCTGTAACAAAAGAAAAAGAAAAGAGCAAAAGGTCTTGCTATCGTAAAAGGTTTCAAAGAGACTGATACATCGCACTAACAATATTTTAACACACACACACACACACACACACTCTCTCTCTCTCTCTCTCTCTCTCTGGTCTCCCTTTTCCTCCCCTCTCTCTCTTCAGTTCTGTACATCAATTAAGTAACAAGTATACGACGGTGATACCAAGCCTGTGCATGCTTGATATACACTGTAATTTCGTTTAGTTTACCAACGTTCGATTGCTCGTGCAGACATGAACGTCGACGCTACAAATACTCGAGTCTAAATACGACGGCGCGTCTCTTTACACATCAAATTAATATAATTAATAATTATGGGATTTTGTATTCTACGGACAAGATTTATATTCTGAAAAAAAAATCACTTTAACAAAATTTCGTTCCTTTCTACATTATTTTTCAATCTCTCGTCGCATTTGTAAGATCCGTCGTATTTTTTCGTATTTCTCACGTATCACAATTTTAGATTTACTACTATAAATCGAAGAGAAAGATGGAAGAATTTAGAGTCGCCTATATCACTCGCGAAAATAAACTTAAGGTAAGTCCGGTAAGTCTACAAATCAGTCCCGAAGATAAAGAACGGCTGTTTATTTTATTTCGCATTCTACCGGCGCCTATGACGATAGGTGTGCTAAAACACGCGTTAGGAGGCGAGTGAAGAGAAAAAGACGATCTTTCCGCCATAAAGATTTTTTGCTTCGATCTATCGTTCGCATTACGACGCTTAAGCTGTCCGCGCGAACATCACGATCGTTTTGCGCGCGCATTAAAACACAGACACCTACAACAAGCCGTCATAAATGCTTTAACGTTCATTGGATAGGCAATTCTCGATCCAACTCAACTCTAGATACATACGTAATGACAACTGTAAAATCATCGTTTTTCAATCAAGCATTACAAAGGTCGCCGATAAATCTTTCTCATCAATAAAAATGATGTTCTAAATTATGTTTAACAGATGAAAAATGTCAAACGCGTAAATCTCTCACGCTGCTTTATTACCTGCCACGATGTCTAGAGCTTTTTTAAAATTGATTCATGATACGAGAAAAATTTCAAAGAGAAGAATTTTTTTATTTCTCAACCGTAAACATCTAAATTCTTCTCGAGAACGTAATCACGCGTTTGCGGAAATATCACGTTTATCCTGAAATGTTTGCGCGCGTCGCAAAAATACGCGCTTAATGGCCTTAATTTTCTCGATGACGGCAATTCGAAATCCGTTAAACGCGAAAGTAACGACTGCGAATGCATATTGCGCGTTAAGCCCCGACCGTTCAATCTCGCGGCTAAAATGCGATTTTACGCGCGCGTAATAAATGTCGCCTGGCCGAACTCTCGGTAATGAGAGCGACTGTACAGGACTGTATCTTTCCCGGGAAAGGCTATATACACACAGATACACAATGGACGGAATTGTACATTCAGCGCGCGCTAATCGACCGAAGTCAATAGCGCGTTCTCGACACGTGTTATAATCGGCGCGCGATTATTACGCGTCATGAAACAATTCTCGTAACTATGTCGCTACCGCTTGAATTTTCTCAATTTCCTGCAATCACCCTCGCCGCTTGCTAAAAAAATGGAAACACAGAAATTTACAATATTCATCGATTTTAGATCGCCGTAAAAGATCATTTATTTTACATCTGTAAAAAACCGCACGCGAGTTTCCTTATTTCCCCAATAGTTATGTCACTCATTTAATTATTCCGCGTTTTTCCTCGAACCAGTTTACGATATACCAAGGCAATTAATGATCTCTGATATTTATATATAAATATAAGAGCTGGAAAATAAAAACAACAGTAGAAATAAATAGCGACACAAATAAAGCGAGACTCACCTTCTCTCGCTTTCAGGTATATGGTGTTCGCCACAATATTCTCCAACTCCATCAATTCCAGCTTGATCGGATTTGTGCGGCCGAATCGAGTGGATGAAGAAGAAACCTCGTGGTGACGACGACGACGTCGGTAGACGACAGCGGGGGCGGCGACGGCGGCGACGGCGGCGGCGGTGGCCGTGAAGTCGATTGCGGGGGGCACGTGCGATTGTTATACGGGGTTGACGGGGGTCCCATCAAGCTCCCATCTGCGTCCCCGCGGACACCATCGGCATTCACAATCGGTTTCCTTTCACCGAGGATCAACGAGGGACTCGCGTATCTCGCGATGTATCTCGGCACAGAACCACCGCGAGCCACAAAACGAGCCCCAATGCTGCGTCAGATGGTTTCCCAATCGATCGTCGGGTTGGATTCATTTGGAATCGCGAATTCGATTTCCAGAAGAGACCGCCTCGAATGGGGAGCAAATGTTGCGCGTCCTTGCGGGGAGCTCCTTTGCCCTGCCTCCGGTGGTTCCTTGAAGGAAAATAGCGCCAGCGCTTAGACGAATCCGCACGAGCGTGGAAGCTGGCGAGTAATTATGAAAAATCGTTCTCGCTCGCAATTAGACTAATTAGACTAAGTAGTCCCGGTGCAAGGCGACTTTGCTCAGCTCCGCTCGAGAAAAACCGGATCGCATCGCGATGTCGAAGGGAACGGCGGTAGAACCGATGACGAGAATCTCCGGTTTTATCAGCCGGTGGATAATTCCAGAACTCTAGAACCTCTTTTATCTTAATAGGCGGAGTCAACGGTCCGGTAATGTGCGTACATTATGAATCAAGTTTTATCGCCGTTCATGGACCGTTTGACGGATTCACCGAATTAGATCGTTCGACGTTCAATGTCCGTGCATGTCGCATCGCATAATCGACATCAATCGTTAGTGGATTCTCCGCGATCATCCTCGTCGTCGATTAACGATCGTTGGCCGACGAGCGTCGATCCTCACGGCCGACATACGTCGACTCTTCCTCAATCAAACATTCCATTAATTCTTCTTCCAGCGAAGAGAACGAGGACGTCTCGCGAGCATCGACAAACGTGCTCTTTCACTACGGTCATTCAAATAGAATTTATCGTTTCCATCTACAGTGTAATCGGAATCGTATCACGATGAGTAAGAAGGAATCGGCCGATCGGGCGAGCACTCGGGCAAGAGGGCGAGCATACCGGCGCGGTGACTTCAACTTGCACTTAAATCCGCGTGCATTAGCGCGACATCACACACGCGACAAGGCTATCCTTTATGGAATACACGTATACAAAGTAGCGGTACTATATCGAGGCGTTAATGAACGAAGAGAGAGACTCCGAGAGCGCGGAGACCTCGCGCATCGGCGCGTGACCTCGCGAAAATAACACGCCGGGATGAGCCTCGGAAGAGGCGCCGCGTGTTGCAAAGTACTGCCTTTCACTCTTACGACGCCGGCGGGTCAGCCGAGACGAGCGAAACACGCGCATTAAAACCGAGGGCCGATCTCCGATCGTAGTGAGAACACCGAGGACTCCGGACACGCGCGCGCGTGCGTGCGCGCGCGCGCGTAAATTCACTCACTTCGCTCGATCCTCTTTCGCGGGCACGCGGTGCCTCTTTCTCGTCTCCTCTTCTCTTCCTCTTCCTTCTCTTCTTCTTACGGTGCGCACGCGGGGTGAATGACATTCGCCGAGAACGGCGGATTCCTAATGGCTCTCCTCTTCGCGCATCTCATCTCCTCGCGCGCGTTCATCGGCGCGTTACTCGCGCGCACCGCCTCGCGGACTCGCTCCCGTGCACGCGCATCCTGAAAAACAACCGGCGAATTCGACTTTACATACTGTGTGAAAAGTTCCGGACTTCGGAATTTGATCAATGACGTCAGAGAGAAACCGGATAGGGATCAAGCGGAGAATGTAAATATGTAAACAGGAATGGACAAGCTTGTTTCAATCAGTGTGGACGGGCCGAGCGTGAGTTATAAATATATAAATAATCCATACTTTTTCGACACGTCAAAAGAAAGTGGCTCGTTACGTTCATTCATGCTCGTCGCAAATGTATTTGTTCGTTCATCGGATCGGAATCGCTCGTTCTTGTTGACGTAATTTGAATCCATTTCTAGGGAATTCTTTTCTACACATTTATCTCTCGACATTCTTAGCAGTTTAAATAATTCGTAATTATATATATATATATATATATATATATATTTATGACAGCATTAAGCAGTCACAATTATTCATTATAAATGTTATTGTTATCGTGTTACCATATTATATTACTATCTTATTTTAGAATCTTACATACAATTCATACATCTGTTGATAAAATATTACTTTGCACATGAGATATTAATTCAATGTCTGAGGTTAAAGAACATGACATTTCTCGCAGGAAAATTTACGGAAAGCACGTGCCGAGTGTAAAAAAAACGCTAATTAAAGCTAATTTTACACACATCCTATTATATGATAAGTTTCATTAGCATTTGAAAGTAGGTGCACAAGGATGATATAATAACGTGTAATCAATCTCGATTATTTCTGATAAATTTCCCCTGAAAAATTGAAAAGTCAAATTCCTCGCCACGCCGCGTGTGAATTCGTTCGCCGTCACTGGTACACGAGTGCGTACGCGTGAATGGCGATGCATCGGACAGGTGCATCGAAGAAGAAGAAGAGGAGGAGGAGGAGGAGGAGAAGGACGAAGAGGAGGACGAGGAGAAGGGGAGGAGCGGAGAGATAAGGATAACGATGCGACTAATGCGTCGCGTCGACGGCGACAGCCGACGGTAATCTAATAAGCGACGCGGAACGCGCGCTATTTCCACGTATTCATATCCGGTCGAAGCTTTTAATGCGACTTGCTCCGGCGCCCACCGTAGGGATATAAATTCCGAGTAAAAACGCGGAAACGCGCGAAGGATTAGAAAACCCGCGGAATTAGATGGGCTTTCTCGCCGCCGCCGCCGCCGCCGCAAATTGGACTCGCGCCGCTCTGTCCAATTAACTTCTTCCGCGCGAGCGGACCCCGGCCGACGAAGCGTTCTCTCTTCTTTTTAATTCTTCCGATATCGCGCCCGCTTCACTGGAAGCCGATTCGATTAATTCCCGCGTAACTGATCGTCCGAAGCTAGACGAACGCTGGTGGAATGAGAGTATTCGCGTCGCGTCGCGTCGCGAAATTGGAGCTTTTAACTTGACAGTAATGACTGGACGTGGATGAGAACGATCTTGTACAACTGCATCTAATAAATCACAGAACAATTGCAGATTATTCTTCATTATTCATGTCTTGTGTATTAGAAGATGAGTGTATTTGCGATGATAGCGTATGTCATTTCTCATTTATATTTCTACTTTGTACAGACGTACTATTATCCATCTTTACATTCTTTTTATATTATGTATGTGTGTATGTAAAATGTACTATTTTATTATTTACACTTGCACTCTTTTAAAGCAATATGTCACGTTATTATAAACGTGATGTTTATTATAAACCGCAATATTAAATACGAAATGTACTTGGCAAAATAGATTTTCTTTTTAGAACGTGTCCCACAAGAAAAATATTTTCCCGAGGATTTGGACGAAAAGAAGTTTCTGAATGGCAAAAAGAAGTTAGCCACAATACTTGTGATTTGGAGTGTGATCTTTTACAATTGCACCTAATAAATTACAAACAATTGTAGGTTATTCTTCATTCGTATCAGAAAATGAATGTATTTCTATGCTATGTTATTTCTCATTAATATTTCTGTTTTGTAACGTACTATTATCCATCTTTATATTCTTTTTTATTATAAAATGTACCATTTCATGAAAGCTATTATTTTACATTTGTACTCTTTAACAATATGTCGTGCATATTATTATAAATCACGAAATGTGCTTTGTAAAATATAGCTTCTTCTTATACATCTCGCAAGAAGAATATTTTTTCCGAGAAAATATAATTGGGACGCAGAAAAAAGTTTCTGAATGGCAAAGAAAGTGTTAGCCACTTGTGATGCAAAGCAATCTTTTATAACTGTCTCTAATAAATTATAAACAATTGCAGATTATTCTTTATTATGTATTGTGCATCAGAAAATGAGCATATTTATATATATATATATTAAAGCATATGTCATTTCTATATTTCTATTTTAGACAAATATACTATTATCCATTTTTATATTTTTTTATTATAAAATACTATACTATTTTATGAAAGTTATTATTTATATTTGTATTCTTTAACGCAATATGTCGTGCATATTACTATAAACTGCGAAATGTGCTTGGCAAAATAGATTTTCTTTTTCTAACACATTCCGCAAGAAGGATATTTTCTCGAGGAAATATGACTTGGGCACGGAAAGAAGTTTCTGAATGGCAAAGAGAGATCAGCCACTTGTGATTTGGAGAGCGATCTTTTATAACTAAGCGTCTAATAAATCACGAACAACCGCGAATTATTTTTCATTATGTATCAGAAGATGAGTGTATTTATGTATGCTAGTCATTTCTCATCTATATTTCTACTTTATACAAATGTACTATTATCCATCTTTATATCCTTTTTATATCATAAGATTATATCATAAGATATATTATTTTATGAAAGTTATTATTTACATTTGTATTTTTTAACGCAACATATCGTGCGTATATTACTATAAATCGCGATATTAAATAAATGTACTTGACAAAATAGATTTTCCTTTTACACAACATTTCCAGTCTCGCAAGAAGAATATTTTCTCGAGGAAATATGATTGGGGCGGAAAGAGGTTTCTCTGAATAGCAAAGAGAGTGTTAGCCACTTGTGATGCACCGTCCCGGCGCGCTCTGGAATGCGACGCGGTTTTCATGCCATTGTTCGAGATACGGCGATACGCGACTGTAAATTGACGACACGACAACGCGCAACGTGCCGAGCGTGTCTGGATTCCCGAGCGCGCTTAACAGAGCTATCCCCGCTATTAATTGCGATCGCATTCCCTCTCAGAACCGTTCAATCAACGGCGCAATTTTGTTTAATTGTCTTTACAAACATAACTCCATTTCACCGCCACGTAATATTTGCTCCCCGTCGAACAAAAGAGTCTGAGTATTCTAGACACATCCTCGTCTGTTTTTTTAAGGTTTCCTTCATGCAATTATCTTTTTCCGCAAAAACTCGACAGCGTTAGTTTTAACAGCTTCCTTTTTTAGCCACGTAGCAAAACCGTGTGTGCATTTTATGTGTGCGTTATGCCAAAAAGAAGAGAGAAAGGGAGAGAACATACGAGAGCCGACTTTGCAATTGCGCGCGCGGGGCGAGCCAGTTCGCGATTTCGATGCGCTTTCACGCTGAAAAAATCGACACGGGGAACACGCGTACCTCGGTACGCGATAAATCAATTTCAACGCCAGGATGACCGCGAACGCGATAAAGCGTGATTCGATGTGGAAAAAATTGGCGAGGAGGGAGAGAGGGAGAGAGAGAGAGAGAGAGAGAGAGCGAGAAAGAGGAGAGAGAGAGAGAGAGGCGCGAGGCTCCAAAAGGGATGGAAAAGCCAATTCTGTCGTATCAGCGCAAATGGCTATTGACCGACAGGAAGGAAACCGCCGTGCGTTCTCCGCAGAAGATGATAATAATAAACGTTTACGATCGGCAAGCTCCAAATTGGAGCGCGAGAGCCTTTTTACAATCGGCCCTTACCCCACGCGATATTTCAATATCCGGCACCCTCTTTCCATCGTCCCGGATTATGGATCACCTTGGCTCACTTTCATCCGTCTCAAACACGCGCGGTATAATTTGCAACGCAGCACGGGAGATGAGTTTTTCCGGAATTTTTAGCGAAGCTTTCAGCAAGACAGATCGTCGGCCGGAGATTCGTGAAATTTATTCCAAGAGAACTTACAATCGTATACACAAGCGGGAGGAAAAAAAGGAAAATTGCCAACGCTTTTTAAGCCGTTGCAACACTTCGCATTAATCATACCCACGTACGAAAGAACAGTCAAATTTTCAAGCTCAAGTGCTCCGGTTTCATTAGAAAAATTTACGTTTGTTCAACGTAAATCTCTCGTAATGCTCTTTCTTTATTCGTACACGTATAACAACGCAGATTTTAACATATATTTTTATATCTCGCGACAATTATAATTAAATGATAAGATATTTTAGAGATATAAAAAATCAAAGAATGCGGGCGAATATTAATCACTCTGCGTGCATCATGAAGAAGAAAGAGTGTCTCGATATAATAATAAAATAACCTTGAATAGTGCGCTATTACGCAGGATGCATAGCTTGCTTTATTTTCGGCTGACAAATGCTCGACGTATAACAAGCGTTGCGAAATTAGTTTAAGCTAGACGAAAATTGTACGCTTCGATGCGAGCGACAACGGTCGACCGAGCGGAGCGCATTGTGTTTCACTCTCATTATATTCAAGAGGAATATGATTAAATAGCAATCCTTTTGTTCCGTCGCGCGCAAAGATCAATCTACGTGTCTTCGTTTTGAAAATATCGCTGAAAGTGCAAGGTGCATTGCGCGATATAAAATTAATCGGAGCTTGAATAATCGAAATGTCAATTATAAAGCTGTTTCATTATCTAAGTAGCTTTATCTTAATAATTATTTTGAAAGTGCAATAATAAAAATTCACAAGTGCAAAATTCGAAACCCTCCCCCGCCCCCCCCTAACTTTA